TGCGAATAAATAAAGAGACACAGGAAATAATTCAAAACCGGTATTTTTTATTGTACTGCTCTCCATTAGATATTCCCTTTATGTTGCTTTTGTTAATGTTTCTTCAATTTACATCTGTCTTACCTTTTCTTTATTTTTATACTTGATGCTAAAACATTTAAAATGTTATATAACGAAAGAAACAGATATATGTATGTATATCTAATGAGAGATAATATGTACGTAGAGTGGTATCGGGAATATCCTGGATAAAAACAGTGACCAAAAAAATTAAAAAGCAAAAACGTATGTAGCTAGAGTAAATAGGTAAATGTAACAAAGTAATGGTACTGTACTTTCATGCAATCCATGAATTTCAGTTTAATTCTTGTCTATTAACTTTCTATTTTTATGTATCTGAAGTAAAGCTGTTGTATTTTTACAAGTTTTATCACCTAGTTCAAACACAGATGCACATAATGATTGTGTTTCTACTTGTATGTTATTAATAAATAAATAAATAAATAAAAACAAAAAAAACGGTATTATTGTATATTTTATTGTATAACAAGCGGTAGATATGGCCTGGGTGGTGGGGTACTTACTCGTGCGGACTCAGAATACGTCCGACCACAACAATTCGATAAATTTTGCGTATTTGACTTTTACTGCATCATATTAAATGTGGAAGTTGGTAATAAATATGTGTTAAGTACGCGATTACATCTGGCTTTTAATATTTTAGGCTACTACGACTTCAATTATAGTGCAAAAATATTTTGAAACAATACATAAAAAATATATAAAACACATAATATATTTGAATCTGGTTCCATTTCGCTAGATGTTAATAAGCCTTAGACGTACATAGCGTATATACAATGTATAGAGTAACATTGGCGACAGGCGCCCAACTGTGTTCCAGGGCTGACACTTCGCTCATCAATCTTCATTGTTTTATTTGCTTAGTAATAATTATCCTGCCATGTATTTACTGTAGTTTTCTCTATAATTATCTAGAAATGCGAGTAATATTTGCGTTGAATGGGTAAAATCAATATTATGCTGGTTTTGGAAAACGTGTGGTACTTTACTTTGAAATCTGCGTTGTTTTGGGGTCACGCTAACGGTCATCACTGTTTTGCCTATAACTGCCGCGAGATAATAACTCGTTACAAATCAAGCGGTATTCTAATTATAACCAATTATAATAAACGGGAACAAATTACGCACTGTCACCCGGCTTAAATTTAAGATTCCCTGTGCTATAGGTACCACATGTGTGCAATTGACACGTGGTAGAAGTGAAACCTTTAAAAATTAAAATACAATTATCCTAAATGTGTAAGTATATGTATCTATTTCTTTATCTATATCTTTTATAGTATGAGGTAGCGCCCTCTGTGAATTGATATCTTAACTTCAGGTATAATGTGTTCTACCTCATTCTTTTTTTTTTTTTTTTATGATTGAAAGTTTACTGGTGGCCCGAAGGCCTTTCCAGTTTCACCAGGACAGGTGGGCGAGCAAAGGCTCAGCCAAGAGGGGTGGTATTTGCTAACAACTGCCCGAGCGCCTCCGAAGGAGACCTAACAACTCAAGAGCAATTGTTTCGCGAATGAATCTACTACCGGATCGGAATCGCGACNCATCGAGCAATATCGTGTATCGGCTGATATCGAAATATAGATTTCGATTCACGAATCGGTCCGATATGACGATGCGCATCACATCGAGCAATATCGTGTATCGGCTGATATCGATATATAGATTTCGTGCGGGGCGATATCGGATTCAACGATATTGCTGCGATATATAGATATTGAATCTATATACGATTTATATCACCCACTCCTAGCGTGGACTACATTTTTGAAAACGTTGAAATCAATGATTTTATTGTTTATCAAGTGTTCCAGTTTTAAAAACGGGACGCATTACTGATTTGCGGTAGAAATGGGCAGGGTGGTACTTACCCGTGCGGACTCAGAATACGTCCTACCACAACAATTCGATAAATTTTGCGTATTTGACTTTTACTGCACCATATTAAATGTGGAAGTTGGTAATAAATGTGTGTTAAGTACGCGATTACATCTGGCTTTTAATATTTTAGGCTACTACGACTTCAATTGTAGTAGAAAAATATTTTTAAACACAGATAAAAAATATATAAAACACATAATATATTTAAATCTGGTTCCATTTCGATAGATGTTAATAAACTTTAGACGTACATAGCGTATATACAATGTATAGAGTAACATTGGCGACAGGCGCCCAACTGTGTTCCAGGGCTGACACTTCGCTCATCAATCTTCATTGTTTTATTTGCTTAGTAATAATTATCCTGCCATGTATTTACTGTAGTTTTCTCTATAATTATCTAGAAATGCGAGTAATATTTGCGTTGAATGGGTAAAATCAATACTATGCTGGTTTTGGAAAACGTGTGGTACTTTACTTTGAAATCTGAGTTGTTTTGAGGTCACGCTAAACGACACCACAGTTTTTTCTATAACTGCCGCGAGATAATAACTAGTTCCAAATCAAACGGTATTGTAATAATAACTAATTATAATAAACGGGAACAAATTACGCACTGTCTGTCACCCGGCTTAAATTTAAGATTCCCTGTGCTATAGGTACCAGATACTAAAAAACATACTTTGATATGTTTAAATAGATACATATGTAGATAACAAAAAACATGTGTGCAATTCACACGTGGTAGAAGTGAAACCTTCAAAAATTTAAATACAATTATCCTAAATGTGTAAGTATATGTATCTATTTCTTTATCTATATCTTTTATAGTATGAGGTAGCGCCCTCTGTGAATTGATATCTTAACTTCGGATATAATGTGTTCTACCTCATTCTCTCGCCGGCTGAATCCTATACATTTATCTGTTTGTGTCTCTATGGACTTATTTTTTCGTTTCATCGAGTTTGTAATTACAACGATTCTAAAGAAGTTTCACTTCAATAAACATTCAGGTAGAGAGCAAATAAATCTCTTCATCACACGATGTTTTCCCGATATGGGAATCGAATCCACACCCCTTGGCGCAACAGTCAGCACCGTTAACTGCCGCACCACCGAGTCAGTCAGTGATGGTGTTTTTTTATTGCCTTCGAAAACTGAAGAGCATACGTGCCTTCTGATGATGACCAGTCATCGTTGCTCACGGACATCAGCTGTACCTGGGGTACAGCTAAACTGCATACCTCTGAGGACTCTTCAAAGACCATGTATGAAATATTTAGTTAACATTGTGCAGGGGAGTTCATTTTGAAGTCAGATGGTGTCTTAAGTTACAACACAAGGCTTCTTGACGTGATTATTCCGATATTTTAAGGAAGATCTGGGAACGTAAGCGGCCTTTTCAGTAATGTTGCTCTATAATGCCCTACTACTCATACTTTCTACTTAAACTAGAATACTGGTGGTAAGAAATCAATACCACGAACCTATGCAGGCGTTGCGTTGAGTTCATTTTTAGACTTAAAATATATTCTACGTTGATATAAAGACACAATAAACACAACGGTACTTATATTTTCTACTGAAATGGATTACCTATTTTAATTCAAAACCCTATTGATTTGACTGTCTCGTCCGTCCAGTGGTCAGTATCTTGAGTGGCTAGAGACTGGGATCAATCCCCGTCGACGCCAGTTTCTTTGCCACAGATGCTTTAGTCCAAATGTCTTATTGCTGCAGCCCTAGAGTTGTTAGGTCTTCTCTGGAGGCGCTCGGGCAGCTGTTACCAAATCCTTTCCCTCCTAAACTGAGCCTTTGCTCACCCACCTGTTCTGGTGAAACAAAACCCCCAGCAGTAATGTAAATAATAAAAAAGGCTTATTTCGTGATTTGTGGCTTCGGGCCGTTGAGTGTAGAACATTTATTTCTTTTTTGAGGTACCTTCAATTAAAAAAAAACATTCTGTTCTATATACATTATTCAATTAAGCTGTCATCCCTAAGTCTGGGCACCATATTGCTCCCTTTGATCAATGTGTGGAAGCGAGCCGACAGCTAACCGCTTGCAAAACGTTCAGTTACCGGGAAACTCCACTGCTTAATGTAAATACAGACGGCATCTAGAGTCCAGATCTAACTAAAAGATCTAACGTAGTAAATCCGATGAAAAGGATTTTTGAACAGCATGTAAGGTAATTGCATTTCTTTAGACTAGAAACGTCATTATTCATCATTATTGTTGTTTTTTTATAGCCCTTCTCGGCAGAAGAGCATACGGCCCACCTGATGGTGAGTGGTTGCCGTCGCCCATGGGCTTCAGCAATGCCCGGGGCAGAACCAAGTCGCTGCCTACTGTCAAAATCGTTAATCGTCATCAGATGTCCACAGGTGTCCCACAAGGTTCACCACAATGACAGGTCCAACGGATCCCCGCGTCCTTTAGCAGGTCATCAGTCCATCTTTAAATCGTTTTGGGTTAAAAGGAGAAGATTCCGGGTACATTTAGACCGTTAGAGTATAAAAAATAGAACGCAAACCTGTGTCTTCAAAGGTCGAATTGGACTACATTCAATTCACCCCATCCAGAAACCTACCCTAGAAAATCCTCCACCTTAGACACAGGTTCCAATCGTTTCTCCTGTCTCGTGTTCCAAAAATTCTCTGATGGTCAATATTCCGCGCATACTTCGTGCTGTTATCGGCATAACGATGCTTACTATCGAAAAGCAGCATGCCATAAATATACAGAATGAGAGGCGTGGAGATCTCCTAACTATATGGAACGCCATCATTATTCGCCATGGTATTAGAGGAACAACTGTCAAAGACGTACTTGATCCTCCGTTCTTCCAAAAAGCTGCTTAATAAAGCTAAGAAAGGTAACTTGAAGCGCCATCAACTACTTACTGAACTGAAGATGCATCACAATTGAATGTATTGTTTATTAACGTATAGAGGACAAAACTACCTAAAATTATTCATTTTTAATGACCTAATGTTATTATCATTAGTTACACAATACCTAATAGTTTAATATTAATCGAAATCTTCAAAATATTCCCTCTTCAATTGGTCCCAAAACCTTACTCTCCTCATTTCGGGTAATTCGATCATTTTAATTTTTCGATTCAAATTTAACCCTTTGATATTAGTGAGATCGACCATTGGCGTCCATTTTAAGTCGCCCAGAATCTCATCGCTGCCCTCCGGCGTTGGGTCCCTGAAATTAAGGAAGTTTATCAATTAACTTTGCATACAAATTCGTGTTGAATAATCATCGCGCGAATTCTTGGTATTCCAAAACATTATTATTAAATTAATTTCCGTAACGTGCTATTTTGGTACTCTATAATATTAAAATGAGCATGGTGTATAACATAATTACAGTCCTCATAAACTTAATAGATTTAAAAAAAAAAAGATTTCAAAAAGTCAATATTTTGTTTATGTAAAATAATATGTTCTTTAGTAATATAATTAATGTTTCTGTATTCATGGATATTTCGAATGTTTCGTTAATTATGCTGTTTGTCCACCCACAATAAATAATTTTCCTATATATTTCTCCTCATGAAAAACTTATGCGTTTCATTTCACGGGTCTCAAAGATTACAACGTGATGTCTGTAGGATACATTGACCAATTATCACTAGGTGAGACCTTATGCCCTTTAAAAGTAATATAAAATAGCCTCACAACAACAAATTCGATTCAAGTTTGTTTATGTATTATTTAAATAGCATCTTGGAACACACGTCGTCATATTTACCCATGCTTAGCGAAGTTCGCCAATAGCCTCGCAATCTTCTTAACGAACCTCCTTTCACTCGACACCTCGCTTCTGTAGAGCCGGTTCGCTGATTTGCATGTGAATTGGTAACAAACCTCGTCCCCTCCAGTCGCTCCAGTCAACTTAAAATTTCGGAGGAGCAAATCTCGAACGATGTTCAAACAACCTTTATACGAGAATCTGTATAAGTAAACATTATTACCCGACTTCTCTGAGTGTGATCTGGCCTGGCGTATTACAGGATAAATCGCTTGATCCGATACGTATTTTGCGTATCGCCTTAAACTCCTTTCGCCAATAGTTCCGTTCGCAAAATAGAAATCCATTATTCTCTGACGTATCTCTTGATAACGTTTCGAGCCATACTCGTCTATCTTACCCTCAAAAGGCACAAGGTACTGAAAATTGTAATTCATAAACTTTAAAAGTTTTCTGTTATCCACAAAGCCTCGGAGCTTATGAAGATATTCCAAACTTGTATAGCCGAACATCACATCAACGCTCTTATTAGGAAGGGGTCGCTTGTATATGTCCGATGGAAATTTATTCATAAAAGCGCCCTTCCCCGACAATTCAACTGTCGGTCCAAAGGAATTAATTAGCCTCTGATTATCTCTCACTTCGGTACTGTCAAATAGCGCTCCAGACGCCAATAACAATTCATTCGTGGTTGAATTAGCGAGGATTTGGTATAAATTAGTTCTATTCAACTTTTTGAATGGACCATTAAGATTCCAGTACAGCTTGTTTGAGATCTCGAAATTGTAATTTCTATAATTTTCAGGCGATAAAGCGCTGCCGCTCTCAACGATTATTCTTGAAAATAAATTTCTCGCTGCAGATGTTAGGGGAAACGTAGCTACAGAAGCAGCCGCTTCACCGGATCCAATAACAGTGATTTTATCGATATCGCCTTTAAAATGTCGTATATTACTTTTCACCCATTTGATAGCCGTAAGCATATCTTTGGCTCCCATATTGCCGAGAGCAAAACCATCGCCGGTATTCAAATATCCAAATATACCAGTCCGGAATGACACTGTCACAACAATAATATCCTCATCAATAAAGAAATCTGGTCCATGACAATATGAACGCTCGTGTATCCAAATAACAACAGGAAAGCCAGTGGCATTAGTCAAAGGCATATAAATCGATAAGTACAGACAGTCTTCGGTTCTTGATCGACGAGTGTTCAAGTAAGGTTTGCTATAATTGAATTTCGTGGAGCCAAAATTCAGTCGTAATTTCGGTGGCTGCAATTTGGAAAATAACTTGTAGTCACAAATAGAAACATGGATCTTATTAAACTAAGGACATTGATTAGTTTAAAGCATTTGAGACTTTTGACTTTATTCAACTGTAGCAAATTGTATTCGTATCACTCCGAGCTCCACGAGTCGTTTACTTCCACGTCGAGCCGAGAATAGACCGAAATAATGAAGTGCATTTTTCTACCTTATACAATTCGTGGGGTACACTGCAAGCTCGCACAGGTCTTGTTTATTTCGCCACGTAGCCAAAGGAATTAATTTCCTTTGGGATCGAAATACATGACAAACATCAATACAGTAAAGTCGAGACCTCATGTCATACTAGAGTGAGTCCGACAACTATTCAACACCAGAAAAGCCGTGAACATGCCAGCTAACAAAAAATGGAATACCAGTAAAGCTGAATGCGTATCATTAAAAGTTTTAATTATCGTTTCCACATAAAATACGATATGCTTGAAGAAAAAAAATCAAGCCAACCTTAAACCTGAGATTGCCAACAGGCGGCTCCGCATACGATATATCCCAAAAAGCAACATAAGGCTTCTTATCAAAAACAGTAAACAGCTTCCTTCCAATTATCTTAACATCGTTCACTTGAACACAATCATTTTCCGTACAAAATGTCCAATAAAAATTTATCGTGAAAATAGCAGAGCTTAGTTTAATAAGTCCCATTGAATATTGAACACTTCGTTAGATAATTTCAGGTGACATTGTGAATGAGCACTCACATAATATATATACTTTAACCTAATACCATGTCGTCAGACTTGAATCCATCAAAGGCCACGTCAATATAAGCGTTGCTAAAACTATGGAAATGTTTTCAAAATATTCGCTTCGACACGATACATTTAGTATGAGCCATACGTTACAACTAATCTAACTAGTTATAAAAACTTGTGGTCACAAAAGAAAAACTTCAAGTTAGACGTCTCGTGGACACAATAGCTCGCCAGACTTACCCAAATACTGTTTGAGACGAAGCGTTCTTATTTTTTATGTTTTGTCGAGACAGCTGTGTAATCTTCTCCCAACGACCACGAAAACTGCGCTTAGTCTTTTCATTTTATAACGTTGAGTATACAGTTGCCATTTCTTTAATATAACAAAACATATTAAGTTTGAATTTCTTCAAAATTGTTGTACTACTTGTGAGTTATAATAGGTTGGGGAAAAAGTCTTTTCGCATTATAGTATGTATGAACTTGTAATAAAATCTCTTTGGCTATACTATTTGTATCTGGCTGATTTTGGTATCATTAAAAGTTTACCTTTAAAAAAAAAATCCAAATTTAAATTAGGAAAATGTGTAATTTTTATTTATTTTTCGTACTGTCAAAATGAGTGAAACTAATGAAGAAATTCGATACATTTTAAAATTTTACTACAAAAAAGGTAAAAATGCAAAGCAAGGCGCGAAAAAATTTTGCGATGTTTATGAACCTAGTGCAGTGTCTGCGAGTGTAGCACAAATTTGGTTTAAGCGTTTTCAATCCGGAAATTTTGATGTCAAAGATGCATGTCGCTCTGGTCGCCCTATTACGGATAAAATGGATGCCGGATGCCATTTTTGAAAAAGTGGAGCAAGATCGGCATATCAGTAGTTACGACGTAGCTGAAGAACTGGGAATTGACCAAAAAACAGTTGGCGCATTTGAAAAAAACTGGGTACACAAAAAATGCTCGATATTTGGGTACCTCACGAGCTCACTGAAAGAAACCTAATGAACCGTGTACTCATTTGTGATTCTTTATTACGACGTAATGAAACCGAACCATTTTTGAAGAAGCTGATAACTGGTGATGAAAAGTAGATCACGTATGACAAGAATGTGCTAAAAAGGTCGTGTTCAAAGGCCAGTCAGGCTTCACAGACTGTGACGAAACCCGGGTTAACTCGCAACAAGGTGATGCTGTGTGTGTGGTGGGATTGGAAGGGCATTATTCATTATGAGCTGCTACCACCAGGCAGGACCATCGATCCTGAACTCTACTGCGAACAACTGATGAGATTAAATCAAGAAATTGAGGGAAAGCGGTCGGAATTAAACAACAGAAGGGGTGTTGTTTTTCATTATGATAACGCTAGACCTCACACATCTTTCGCTACTCGCAAAAATTAAGAGAGCTTGACTGGGAGGTGTTAATGCATTCGCCGTATAGTCCTCACCTTGCACCTTCAGTTTTCCACCTGTTTCGGTCTCTTCAGAATTCTTTAGGCAATGTCAGGTTAACATCACGAGAGGACTGCCAAAACCAATTGTCGCGGTATTTTGATCAAAAGCCCCAAAATTTCTTTAGCAATGGGATCATGTCCCTACCTACAAGATGGCAAAAAGTTATCGAACAAAATGGTACCTACATACTTTAGTTAAATATAAATAAACTACATTAAAAATGTTGTGAATTTTCTTAAAAAATGCGAAGGAACTTTTTCCCCAACCTATTATAATTATTTAACAACAAAAATATTTGGTTTTTGTGTCAAAATTGGACAAAGCTCTAGTTTCCGCTAATTTTCCTAACCCTTTTATTGCTTTATCCTCATTTGTTTTTTTCTATTATCCATTAAGTTTTACGTAAAACAAAACAAAAAATCAAAACGTATGAGTATATTTTATTTATCCACTTTAGGTATATAGTAGAAAGAAAGAAATATGCCGCTAAAAGCCAACCATTAATTTGCAGTTCAACCCGTTCTGACATATTTAGGGCTGCGAAAAGTCTAAATTTGACTGATAATGTCAGACCATCTATCCATTGGAACAAGTGTCATGAAAGTACTCTTTTACATTGGAATCTGGCATTATTTGCGTATTATGGCACTTACGGGTAGGTACCACTACCCTGCCTATTTCTGCCGTGAAGTAGTAATGCGTTTCGATTTGAAGGGTGGGACAGCCGTTGTTACTATCCTGAGACCTTAGAACTTATATCTCAAGGTGGTCGGTGGCATTTACGTTGTTAATGTCTATGGGCTCCGGTAACCGCTCAACACCAGTTGGGTCTCAAACTCGTCCACCCAATTAAACAATAAAAAAAATAAAAAAATAAAAATTTGCAGTCGCCAACCGGCTCTTACTGCCGGTAGGATGTAATGTGAGCCAACACGCCAACTAAAACCTTAGCTAAATCTTGCTATTTCAGCCGCTATACTTTCCAGGATGAATTATTTTATATTAAACAATACAAATGAGACAACAACTACAAGTCTATGAGCTGCCATAATTACATACCACGTAGACGGTAAACAGCAATAAAACAGATGATTCAATTAAAATCGGTAACGATACGGTCAGTTTTATTATACTTGAGACTTCGCGAGATAAAAAATCGATAATGGATATCAGTGCCTAAACGAATAGCTTCAGTGGTAGACGCAATACATATGTATATATATAGATCATAGTGAGTTTTTTTTATTTAAACGAAATGTATGGAGGATATTTACTAGTAGCTTTTATTACTTTGTGGTCGATTGTCAAAAGTGAACCCTCAGTGGACACGAGCCATGGAAAAATAGCCGGGAAAGTGCTAAAGACGTTAATAAAAAACGTTGAATACGCCGCTTTTATGGGAATACCATATGCCGAGCCGCCAATAAAAGACTTGAAGTTTATGGTAAATAAAAAAAAACCTTATTTCTTTATATTTGATATGGGTGTAAATAATGTTTTTATTTTATTACTAGCAGTACTCGCCCGCTTCGCTTGCTATTTAAAATTAACATTATTATTTATTGTCATTACTATTAGGGAGTCCAACACTCATATAAATATTAGCCTATCCATTAAGTACATGTATGTTCTATATGGATACCAAGTTTCAAGTCAATCGGATGCATGGTTCAGTAGTTATAACGGAACATCCGTAAAAACCACTGTAAAGATTTATATATTAGTATAAATTGCTGCTATATATATATATATTTATATATTTATGTATGGACGGTTTTGACAGACCCGGTGGCGAAAGTATGAACACCCGTGACTGCTGGGTTATCGATTAGTTTCACACTTCTGGAAATATTGTATTTATTTTTCTCATGTGTATATAAGTATATATTTTTATGTAAGTTTATTAAGATATAGCACCGTCCAGTTCACTTATTCCTCTCCCTGCAAGGTTGCCTGGAAGAGATCGCTTGCAGCGATAAGGGCGCCAATTTATATCACCGACTATTATTTGTTTTATTAGCTTACTATGTACATATGGTGTTAAATAAATAAATAGTTATATTATTATTATTCGTTTTGGAAACATATTTGTTTGCTTTATATCTGTATTCAATATGTATAAACATACTAAACTATATGAGTACGTAGAATACATCAGTCTCTGTTTCCAATCATCCAAAGGATGTTAATTTGAAACCAAGCGTAAGTAAATTGCCCCTGATTTTTTTGTCATATATATTGCCGCAAATATTAAAATTAAATCGACCGAATGTCTTAGTGGAACCGCTATCGAAAACAAAGATAACTATAGCGGGTTGACTCGATCCAATAAACCTGTGTACCGTAAGCTGTCATTCAGTACGTTCATTCTGGTCCTTGATAAGTCATCGCATTGACACAGCATGTGTACCCTGTATGAAACTAGATCAAAGATTTTGTAACAATTTTTTTTATATACTCGAAAATAATAGTTTAATATTCAATCATTTAACTCTGAACAACAATAATTATAACAATGTATTTTTTCAGCCGCCTCAAAGTGTGAAGCCATGGGACGGAGTCTTAAAGGCTACGACAATAAAACCAGCGTGCATACAATTCAACAACAACATTAAGAAAGGTCAGCCGCTCGGGCATTACGGCGCGGAGGATTGTCTATATCTCGACATTTTTACACCCGGATTAGACGAGAATAAGCGTGCCGTTATTGTCTACATATACAATCACAATTTCTACGAATCGTATAACAAAACCGAAGATTACGCACCGGATTTTTTCATTGAGGAGGACATTGTTATTGTAACCATAAGTCATAGATTAAGTGCTTTTGGTTTTCTTTCTCTGGAGGATGAGTCGATGCCAGGGAACGCAGGTCTTAGAGATTTAGTGCTCGGTTTAGAATGGATTAATGGAAATATTGAAAAGTTCGGTGGTGATCGTGAGAGAATCACTCTGATGGGTTCTCAGGGTGGTGCTGCTGCTGTGGATTTGCTTATGCATTCGACCGCCAAGAAACTGTTTAGTGCAGCCATTTTACAAGGTGGATCTTCGTGGTCTGGAGCATACCTCCATGACAATGTTAGAGAGAGAGCATTTAATTTAGGAGAAGTAATGAACAGAACTGCAAGCAGTGGTCATAAATTAATAGCTAAATTGAATGAGATTCCACCTGATAATATAGTTTCCAAAGACTTCCATGCATGTCAAAAGGAATTTTCCAAGGAATATCAACGGAGTATCGTCACATTTGGGCCAGTTGTTGAGAAACAGCCCGATGGCCTGATTACCGAATACCCAGAAGATTCTGAACAACAAATCGATATGCCAATTATGATTGGATACAATTCATGCGAAGGAATGGACACAACGTTGTACTATCTATTAGAGCCACGTTTTTTTAGTTTTCTTCATAAAGATTTTCCTTTTATACTTCCAAGACGTTTGAAGTTCAGATTCGATCCCTACAAAGACGCATTCTATGATGCTGTCGACGAAATAAAGAGTCACTATTTTAATAATAAATTCAATAAGAAAACAATTCCTAATTTCGGTGACTATACAGGAGACGTACTCACTGCTTACAGTGTTAATTGCGCAGTTTCCGCCTATGCAAAGCGCTCAAGAAGTCCAATTTACTACTACCATTTCGACCTTTTCAGTGATTTTAATGAAAATAAATTAAACATTATGAAATTGTCATCGGTTGAGGGCGTAAGCTGGGGAGCCGCTGGAACAGATGAGCTGTGCTATTTATTCAAATGTCCAGATCTGAAAGAAACTTATCTAAAACATAACAATGCCATGACTGAGGATAGAAAGACTCAAATGAAAATCGTCAAACTCTGGAGCAACTTTGCGAAATACAGGTATGTTAATATTAAATTTTATTCGATACAAACGTATACTAAGGTAAAAAGAAACACTCCTAGATTATTAATGGATTCGTATAGAAGCAGAAATACTATATAAAACTTACGAATTTTACTACAATGACACAAAACTATGAAAACTCCGTACTTCTTATTTAATTAGATTGAGCCACAAACGCGTTTTTTTCTTTTTTTTTGTCATACCATACTGTCTATATGAAAGTGATTGGTTACCGTTGCACGTGACTACTAGGAGCGCACCCAAGGCACTGCTCGCTGCTGAGTTCTTACCGCACACATTTTTTGAAGAAGAACATGTCATAGCGCACAAACGCCGTGGAGGAAACCGAGCGACCCCAACAATCCCAATATCCTCGAAAGGATGCAGGGAATTGAGGTACCCAGACAATAGAAACACGCAAACGTGCGGTTCAATGGGTTGAACTGAACTAAATTCAATTCACCCCACTCACAAACCCATCTCAGAAATCTCTCCACCGCAGATACAAGTTTTAATCGCCTTTCCTGCACCAAGCTCCAACAAGGCTCTGATGACCATGCATGCCCCGCGCTGTCATCCGCATAGCGTTACATGCCATCAATGGGTATGTCATTGATAGGATGTGAAGTTTACGGGTGAGCACCAAGCCTTCTGGAACACCCACCGGTATCAAAGCAGCAGCCATTGATGACGACTATGATACTCCATCCATCCAAACCGCCCTAGCCACTTGCAATGATCTTATTATTCCACATCAGCGTTATAACGTTGAATATAACAGATTGTTGAAACAAATAATGATAACCATGACATAACTTTTTAGGAACCCAACACCTGACAACGATGAAACGCTTGCCGGACTAAAATGGTCACCTTATACCGTAGAAAACGAGGAATATCTTCATATCGACAACGATTTCAAAATGAAAACTGAATTAAACAAAAGCAAATTTAAATTCTGGGACGATTTCATCAGCCGATGGGAAAAAAAAGCCGTCAACGGAGTTATTTCAGAACCTTTAAATAGAAAAGATGAGTTATAATTATTATTATTTTTAGTAAGAAAAAAAAATAAAAAATTTTTTTAATAGGTTTTATTTTCTTTATTCTTTTGGACTTGGAGTTCTTGTCATAGCATCTTCAGAAAGTACATCAAAGGACATGGGCCACTCTCCATACATTGCACGGCCCACTAAACGAAGCTCAAGGACAGTAATGAAATTAAGTTTAAATAACAGACTATACCTATATATCCCTTTAATTATAAGCAAATTAAAATCAATATTGTTCATGGGGATACAGAGATATTTAAAAATAAGATTTTTAAGTTACAAACAAACAAAACAATATTTTTATATTTGCGTAATAACTGGACGTCTTATGAGCCCGTGCGGGTATTTACTATCACCACCCCGCCCGTATCTGCCGTGAAGCAGTAATGTGTTTTGGTTTGAAGGGTGAAACAGGTGTTGTACTGAAAAAACGGAGACCTTAGAACTTTTACGTCGTAGCTGTCTATGGGCTCCAGTAACCACTTAACACCAGGTGGGCCGTAAACTCGTCCATCCATCTAAGCACTAAAAAAAAACCTATTCACAAACAAACTTAATGAAAACGTAATTGGTTGTCATATTGTGAATATTATAAGAACATTTTCCTTAATAAAGAAAACTAGTATTTAATTATAATAAAACTGAGGACAAGTCAAACTTAATCATCAGGCCTCAAACTAGGAAGTCCTGTAATATTGTAATTCCTGTTTTTAAAAACGCATGACAAAGATCAAAAACCTGTTCATGATACGAACGTTTGCCCGATGTGACTATCGAACCCACGACTGGTCCGGCAGTTAGAAGCGCTAACTGAACCACGAAGCTAGTGAGTATATCCTTAGATTACCAGAAAACTTCTAAAATCCTTAATACAACAACGATAAGTTGAATAGATTCTGGAAATTAAATTTAAATCTAACAAAACACAACAAACAAACCGTGATCTTTTTATAGGTAGGTATAATCCAGTAGCAACAGAAGAAAACCCAAATAACTTTATCAAAGAAATGAATACTTTAATACCGATTATATTAATCAATGATTATCGCAAGGCTGTAAAATACTACAGCATGTACGTGGTGATAAAAATATTTATCAAATAAGGACACGTCAGTACAAAAACAATTGTTATGAACCGTGCTATTATTAGTTTAAAATAGTAATTAAAATCGATATGACAGCAATGAATATTGTTTTTTTAATATTTCTGTGTGTAGCCGTCGAAGGCGGCGTAATTGTGGAGACAAATAGTGGTAAAGTAGAAGGTTTAGAAGTGAAATCTATAATTAAAGATGAGAAATTTTACTCATTTCTCAGTATACCATACGGTAAAGCACCGATTGGTGCGCTAAGGTTCAAGGTAAGACATTATTATGCTTTAGGACGAATCAAATTTACAAAGATTAAGGCTTATTCTATAAATACAGTACCCCAATCATTTGTCAAGAATTTATCTTATTGAACAGTAATATTTCTGTATAAATAAATAAAAATCAAAGTTTGTTTGTTTTTCCTCAAACCGTTCACCGATTGTGATGAAACTTGACACAGTTTTGTTAGCGTATCAACATAAAATGGGTTTTGCACGAGTAGTTAAAGAATTCGCCCTTTTTCATACTATTAGAGTATAATTCCACTATTTTCTTTAGAAAGCTAGTGACTAGTTCTAGTTATTAGTTTAATATATAATTTCTTAAATCTGATGTATATGAACATATTTTAGGCACCTCAACCTCATGAAGGCTGGACCGATGTTTTAAATGCCAAGAAGGAAAGGAAACAATGCGCTCAATATTACGTTCCAATGAGACCCGTTGATGAGGTTGGTTTTTGCGGCTCAGAAGATTGCCTTCACTTGAACATCCACACTCCAAAACTTCCAAACAATAACGAACCGAATCTACCAGTCATAGTTTTCCTTTACAATGAATATTTCAGAATAACATATAACGCCTCAAAAGAATATGGCCCTGATTTCTTTATGAAAGAAGATGTTATTCTTGTCACCATAAGTCACAGAGTAGGAACATTTGGGTTCGTATCATTTGGTGACGATCTGCTGCCGGGTAATTCCGGGGTAAAAGATGTCATATTAGCATTGAAATGGATACAATCGAATATTAACAAATTCGGAGGAAACCCTTTCAAAATAACTTTAATGGGCCAAGATGGAGGTGCCGCTATGGTGGACATTCTGCTACACTCACCTAAAGCTAAAGGTTTATTCAGCGGTGCGATTTTGCAAAGTGGCACGGCATATAGTTCCATGTTTTTCAATACGAAACCGAAAGATAGAGCTTTAGCCATTGCTGAAGTTCTTGAGAGGAAATTGAGTAACAGCGCCCAATTTATTAGCGAGTTGGGCTCTATAGCTGCTCCGAAAATAAGCGAATCGGAACTGATGGCTATTCACGCTGACGATTCGCGGAAATATCAAGTTCCCATTCTCGCAAACGGTCCTGTTGTTGAACACGACCATCCGGACGCGGTCATTACTAAGCGTCCTGAAGACAGCTTTCTTGATGTCGAAATCCCCATCATGATTGGATACAACACCCGAGAAAGTATTGAAATGATGGAACGCTATTTACGGAAACCACAGTATTTGACGTTTGCTGATCGCGATTTCCTGATGATGTTTCCAATTCGAGTGGATTATCATTTCGAGCTTAATACAAATGTATATTACGAAGCTATTCAACAGATCAAAGACTTCTATTTAGAAGAGGGCTACGTCAAAATCAGTAAGCCCGGTGAATTTATGACCTACATGACGGATATAAACACTTTTTACTCTGTCGATTACGCTGTCAGGAGATATTTGAATGAAAGTTCTGCTCAAATCTATTATTATGCATTTGACTACAGCGGCGACTTGAATATGAGGAAACAGAATATATTAAAAGACGCAATGATATTGGAAGGCACATGGGGTGCGTCGATTGGTGATGAACTTTGTTATCTATTTGTATGCAAACCTATTATTAAAACTTACTTGAAGGCGTTGGCTGAAGAAGATTCAGAAGAAATTAAAGTATTAAAATCTATGGTACGCATGTGGACAAATTTCGCTAAAACTGGGTAAATAATCTTTTATTATGATATTTTATTTTGAATGTACGTTTCCATATTTTATTGTAACATGTTTATTCAGGAACCCAACTCCATCTGGTGAGCCGTTTCAATGGAAACCTGCTGCTAAAGACACCAAGGACTGTTTGATGATTAGTGATGAACTGGAGATGAAGACCAACTTGCACGAGGATAGAATAAAGTTCTGGGATGATTTTATTGAAAAATACAGACAGATAGCTGTAGATGGTGTCGTCAAAGGAACCAAAGATGAACTTTAGATGAATAAATAAAAAAAAAAAAATTAAATAGTATTTTGTTATTTATAATACCTTTTTCGTTGAGTTTTGATATCGTTTATGCTTAGTTATCGATGCTTAATTTTCATTTTTATAACATTCTTAGTTCACCACTAAGTGGTTATCGGAGCCCATAGACATCTACAAATTAAATGCCACCACTCACCTTGAGATATGAGTTCTCAGGTAATGTATAAATTTTTTTTATTGCTTAGATCGGTGGACGATCTCACAGCCCACCTGGTGCTAAGTGGTTACTGAAGCCCATATACATCTACTAGGTAAATGCGCCACCCACCTTGAGATATGAGTTCTCAGGTCTCAGTTGTAACAGTACGACGCCTGCCCCACCCTTCAAACCGAAACGCATTACTGCTTCACGCCAGAAATTGGCCGCGTGGTTAAGCCCGTGCTTATGCATATGCAGAGCATAATGCGACTCAGTGACGCACAATGCCGAATTATGCTGAAGCTTAGTTGAGCATTATGCCGCATAATGCGCTCTTGTGCTGTAATTGGAAAAGGGCCAGTGAATCGCGTACTTGTTCCACTTAATCGATAAATACATTAAATATAGTACACTAATAACTCTCCAGAATAAGCCTCACATTTCTTCACAACTGCCTAAGTGAGCAAGAACAACTTCAATATGCTTCAGTAAATCTTACACGCTTATAAATTTTAAATTATCAATTGGATACCAAGGTGTTCCAAAGATAAATTAAATAATTTATTATTAATTTTATCAAAGATAACAAGAGTGTACGTAAGCGTTGCTTGCGTATCCTTATCATTTAAGTTGTCAATTGAGACAGATACGTTATTGTAACCTTTAAATATTAAATTACCAAAATCGAGTTCGGGAATGACTCGAAAATATAATTGTTTATTCTTTTATTTTTTCGTTTTAAACGCTCCGAAGCATGTTTATACGGAAGACGTCGAAGTGAAATTGGGAAATGGTGTTCTATTAGGTAAAATCGAGAAAAGTTTATTGAAAGAAAATGATTTTTTAGCGTTTAGGGGTATACCGTATGGGGAAGCTCCTGTCGGCAAATTACGATTTAAGGTATTGTGCTTTTAATATTATTAATTGTCAACACGGTTTATTATTAGTGTATCTATATACTTAGTCTTGCCATAAATACTGAGACAAAGGAAAAAAAAATCTATTGCAAATGACATTTATTACTTTTACAGTGTGTTAGTTTAATACATAAATATAAAACAATTTAAAGTATAAAAAGCTTATTCGAAGTGGTCTCCATTGGCTGCAATACAGTCCTTTAAACGTTGAGGCCAGTTATCAATAGAAGCACGCACTCTTTCCATGGGAAAAATATAAAAATAAATTGCTGTTCGTTAGTCTTGCTAAAACTCGAGAACGGCTGGACCGATTTGGCTAATTTTGGTCTTGAATTATTTGCGGAAGTCCAGAGAAGGTTTAAAATGTAGAAAAATATAAAAATGCTCGGAATTAAATAAAAATAACAATTATGTGTGTCCCCCGTCGGACGGATTCCTTTTGTTTGTTTTAAGTCTATTTTATACAAAAGTTTAGGTATTTTATTTATCGATTGAGGCACTACAAAGTCTGCCGGGTCAGCTAGTTTATAATAGAAATCCAAATTGGTTTTGAATACAAACGAAATTCATTTAAAACAGTAACTTATATATTTATGTGTTTGTTATGAAATGTCGTATAATCCCAATTCCAATCTAGAATATTTCCAAACCAAGTCGATTTTTTTATTTTTGATGTGATTACTTTCCAGCCTCCGGTACCACATAAAGGATGGGAAGGCACGTACGAAGCATACGTCGAAAAGCCAACATGCCTACAATTTAGCTCAAGAATGCGCAATGGCGAAGAATTCGGTATATCTGGCTCTGAAGATTGTCTCTTCATTAACATTTTCACACCAAGCCTCAAAGGTTCTGCTCCTGTCGTTGTTTTTGATTACAACGATAACTTCAGAACCGGTTTCAATGGCAGCCTCACGTACGCACCAGACTTCTTCGTGGAAGAAGGCGTCGTTGTTGTCACAATAAGTCACAGATTGGGATTACTCGGCTATTTAACAACCGAAGATGATGTAATTCCTGGTAATAATGGCTTGAGAGACTTTCTGCTTGGTCTACAGTGGATTCAGGATAATATCAAATCGTTTGGAGGAGACGCAAGTAGAGTAAGTGTGATGGGTAACCGTGGAGGGGCCGCGATTGCTGAAACACTATTATATTCCAAAAAAGCAAAAGGTTTATTTTCCGCAGTAATGATACAAAGCGGTACCACGTTAGAAGCTATGTACTTTTATAGAACACCGAAGGCGAAAGCTTTTGAATTTGGTAGAGTCCTTAAAATAGAAACAGATGACAGCGAAGTTTTGTTAGAAGGCCTTCAGAAGGTCGAGGCTGGTGAGCTGTTACGAAACGAAATCGGAGTACTTGATAACGACGAATTTGAAAACGACCAACACAGTACGTTTCCATTCGCTCCCACGATCGAACCTGAAAATCCTGAAGCTGTAATTACAAATCTTCCCGAAAACGGACACATCGTAAACGACGTGCCGGTTTTGATCGGCTTCAATTCGCGTGAGGGATTAGATTTGACGTCACATTTTTTGGCTATGCCCCAATTAGTCTCGCACCAAATCGAAGAAAACATCGTACAGTTCCCTATAAGACAGAACTACAGATTTGTAAACGGCGATAAAGCGTACAAAGAAGCAGCTAAGGACATATTAGAATTTTACTTCGAAGACAAATCCGTGCACTACGGCAACGTAATGGAATACACGGTTTACGCTGGTGATGTATTACAGATGTATGCTTTGCAGAAAGCGGTGACGAAACTGTCAGCTGAATTGCAATCGAACCTTTACTTCTACATGTTCGATTTCCTAGGTGAATTTAACGAGAACAGCTATCATATATCTAGATTTTCGAGATACAAAACGGAAAACCACGGTGCAACTATTGGTGACGAACTGTGCTATTTGCACTTGTGTAACCGAATTAGAAATACTTACAAGCAAATTCTGAAATTGCCTAATGTATTACAAGACGTAAAATTACTGAAGAAAATGGTACGTCTCTGGACGAACTTCGCTAAGAGCAGGTATAACAAATATTTACCAAACAACACTTTCAATCATTTTTAGATACGATTGCTTTTACCTTATTTTATTCATGTCTTGTTAGATTTCAATTGAACTTAACATATCAATAAGTCAGGAAATAGAAATTCATGAAGAGAGCCCTTCACTTCCTTAACGCACTATTAGTTGAGTTAGTTTCTAAGAAACACTATATACAAATGTTATGTATTTGAGAAAAAAGTAGTACATAATTTTCAAGCATGTTAAAAAAAATTAAAGACTGCTTTTGTTCTTGATGTGTATGTAAAGTGTGATGTAGGTAATGGTGATGGCTTGAAACGTGATATGATGACATTCACGTTCTGATATCTATGCGGTCTGCTGATACATGTATAAAATAAGTCATAAAAAGAAATAAAATAAAATTATTTTAAATATTTTTTCCAGAAACCCAACACCAAGTAAAGACGACACTGTTCTAAATGGTCTAATATGGAATCCCGTGGTAAAAGAAGCGAATGTATTAAATTATCTCCACATCACAAAAAAACCCAGAATGTCTGTGGATCCGCTCGGTGATAGAGCAAAATTTTGGGATAACTTTTTAGATAAATATTCGAAAATGGCTGTCGATGGTATTGTTAAAGCGAAAGAGACAAAAGACGAATTATAAATTAGATAAAACATATAATATTTTAATTTATAAAATAAATACTAATTTTCTTTTTCCTGCCGAAGCTGATAGCCTTCAGAGGCTATTTCAGAGTAACCTTAACGAGTAGGTGAGCTCACGGGGCTCAAACCTGACGACGTTGCTAACACGAACCCTAGCAAGAGCCGTACTTCGCAGAATCTACCACCGGATCGGAAACGCGACACACTGAGAAGATCCGGCGAGAAACTCAGTGGGCTGTGTCTGTGGGTTAATTTACGATGACCGGTGCTTGATGTACATAAAAGCACCGTTAGTGGATCGGGAGGATCTGAAATGATGTGTTTTGAGCGACGTCGACTGCTTTCCATTCTGCCCGCAGGTTTGGGAATGTAGTTACCGGCGGCCACGATGACAGGGTTCTCGTGTCGTGCCGCTTTGTCTAAGTGGCGCATTGATGCCGACTCTAGATACTTACTGATGGACTCTAGGTCCAGGTCATCATACAGGTCGATGTTCCTGACGAACCACGGGGCTCCGTCGGCTATCTTGCAAAAACGGGATTGAATAACTTGGAGTGGTTTTAAGTTAGTGCTGGCCGCGTGAGCGAACACTACACTTGCATAGGGGCGATAAGTACTAGACGCACAAAAGATAAAATACGTTCAGTTAATAACATTAATAGTAGAAATTTTAACGTAAAAAATGTATGTAACAACAAACAGTATGTTTAGTGCAAGTTTTTTAACTTTTCGATCGCGTAAAATTTTAACTCAATAACGAAAGCGGTCCATACAACTGTATGGAGTTGGAACAACTTCCTTTGCCGCTAGGGGCGCAATCGAGAAGTAAAAAAACTCGCACTAAGCTCACAGATAATCCTAAAACTTATTATATAAGCGTTAATATTGCCAATCGTCTGCATCAAGTTGCTATTAAATTTTATATACAAATAATATTACAAAATAATGCTTGAAAAGCTTGAAAACTATGCATTAATTAAAAACACTGCCCTCTGTTGGCTTTTGACTAAACCATTAACTCAATTTTCAGCTTCATACCGCAGCTGATAGATGGCTCTAATCAAAGAAATTAAAAATAATTGGCATTCAGTATTATGACAATATACTATAATAGGTAGGCAGCGACTAGGCTCTGCCCCTGGCATTGCTGACGTCCATGAGCAACGGTGACCACTTACCATCAGGTGGGCCGTATGCTCGTCTGCCTACAAAGGCAATAAAAAATAAATAAAATAAACGGTAATAATTTTTAACACATTTTTAATAAGCTCGACCTGTATCTATTCTTCGATTTAACTCAATCTTTCAAAATAGTTTTACTGACCTCAAGACATCCAAATAACTTCCTAAACTAGTGGTTCCCCAGTAGTCGAAATTCGACTATAATTAATTGAATTTATAAATTCTAACATTGTTATGGTTCTATTGTCAAAGACTATTTATATACTTCTATAATCATAGATTTCGCCAAGGGTACACTATGGACAAATATTATTAAAGATAAACATTATTAACCTTTTCCCAATTTGACCACAGGCAACAACAAAAGTTTGACAATAAGCAACGAGCACATTAAGTGTGTGTGTGTGTCAAATACATGGTAGAGTGTATCGTGTTTTTTTATATAATTAATATATTTTAAATCCATGATTTATAAAAATATTTGCATTCTGCACTCCTTTTCTATATAAATTATGTGTGCAAATTATGTGTTCTATATAAAACATGCTATGCGTATAAATATATAGATTTTGCTTATGTTTCAAGGACCAATGACAATATAATAATTTTATTATTTTGGCCTAATACCAAGACCAGTCCAGGCAGAAAAAATATTACATTAATTTTATTTATTCCGTGATTTATTGGTATTTAATGCAGTTTAGAAATTATTCCTACGACCGCTTCTAACTTTCACTGTTTTACGTATGGTCGGACGTATTTGAAGTATCCAGCAGAATTTTTTTTCCTGCTGCCTATCATTCTTCTTGCCTTCTTTTCTCGACGGAAGAGTGGGACATCTCTACTGCCATACTACTACCACTTTATAAATTCCGATCATAGCTTAACACCGAGCGAGTCCTGAGCTTTCACATCATAAGAAAATCACAAATTTTTTATTGCTTAGATGGGTAGACGTGCTCACAGCCCACCTGATGGTAAGTGGTTACTGGAACCCATAGACATCTACAACGTAAATGCGCCAACCACCTTGAGATATAAGTTCTTAGGTCTCAGTATAGTTACAACGACTGCCCCACCCTTCAAACCGAAACGCATTACTGCTTCACGACAGAAATAATAAAATTATATTTTTTGCAGGTTTCATTTTTATTACACGATGTTATTCCTTCACCATGGAAGTCAATCGTGAACATTTGTTAAGTACGTATTTCATTAGAAAAATTTGTACCCCCACCTGCGGGATTCGAACACCGTTGCATCGCTAGATACAAATGCACCGGACGTCTTATCCTTTAGGCCACGACGACAACACTCATTAGTGATTCCACTACCTACAGTTTACCACACTACATTATTTCGGTGGGCACGCGGTCGCGATTGCTATAATTCGATTAAATAAAACATCAGCAGTCTGCGCATGTAGTATCTATGGCGCCCATTCGTAACTACCCACTTTTCTGTATAGGGCTGCCATGTGTCAAGTATTATTGGCTTAGGGCTACTGCAATATACTTACTAGCTATAACCAGATTGTAAGCGAGTGCGTACACTGACTTTTACTAAAACGTGGGCCATTTGGAAAATTAGCTTCAATAGATGCTGCGGTAGAAAATTGTCGATGTTTCACTGCCCAGGCTTTTCAACCTTTTTATACTGGTGGTAGGACCTCTTGAGAGTCCGCGAGTGTAGGTACCACCACCCTGCCTATTTCTGCCGTGAAGCAGTAATGCGTTTCGGTTTGAAGGGTGGGACAGCCGTTGTAACTATACCTGAGACCTTAGAACTTATGTCTCAAGGTGGGTGGCGCATTTACGTTGTACATTTATGAGCTCCAGTAACCACTTAACATCAGGTGGGCTGTGAGCTCGTCCACCCATCTAAGCAATAGAAAAAAGGTAATAATTGACACGAGTATTTATGTAAATCGAGGATATGTTTCCCTGTGGCGACAACACGGAATTATTCGGTTAAATTACCAGGGAGCAATCAATAGAAACTATATCCAACAAGCCTTTTATTCACCAATATAAGCTTAATGTTAAATCAACACGTGATTAGAAATAAACAAAAGACAGCCCTTGCACACAATCTGAATGCAGAACAGCGTCGCACGCCTATTTCAAATTTACATTACATAAGTGCACATACTATATATATGGTGCTATATTTCTCAGTTGACTAAGCGTCAAGTTTCAAGTCAGGTTTTGCATTTCATAACTAGATATTCTCATCCGTAGGTTATATACGTTACTTGTGATCCAATTCCGAACTCGGTATTGCTCGGTGCTCCCAGCGCTAAGCACTTGGTGTTCCCAGCGCTAAACACTAATTGGTGTGCAGATATTTTTATCTTAGGACATATTATGTGATACTGCTTTTTTTTAAAACTAAACCGACTCTGAGCCCATCTGTTTTTTTCCTACCTATTCTAGTAACCTCGCGGGTTATTCTAGATTCACCGAAGTAGTAGTGGGCGACGTCGACTGTTTACTGTGTATATATATATATTTATTTTTTCATGACAGTGGGTATTTCTTTTCGTACAGTGTAAAACTCATTTATTTTGTTTCTGATCAGTTCTAAATCAAAACTATCCAAGTTTATTTTTTTTGCCACCTTTCCTCTTTTTACCGGGCGTACTAAATACGCCTCTGTTAGATCTGCCTTCAGGAGCAATTCGTCTTATGGTAGTATTAGAAACGCCTGAAATAAACCAAAGTTTAGTTTTATATAATGCAATAAACCAAAGTATCAAGACGTGTCATTCCTATTAACCAATCAACGCTTGCACATGGCTCAATATCGATTGTGTTTGTTCTGCACCTTGTTCATCAAGTATTCTTTGATAAACATTGAAAACAATATTTCTTGCTTGCGATCGAAGAGGTTTCTTCGACGTTTTCACCACTTTTTAAAGGAAACTTGAAGCCAAACCAAAAACAATTCATCGAAATTTCGGTTTTGACAGATGACTTTTTTTTTGTTGCCATATGAAAATCTATTTTTTTTTTTTATTTGCCATCAGATTCTGGTAGACCTATAGTTACTGGCGGCCACGACGAGCGGGTTTTTCGTGTCGTGCCGCTTTCCAGAAATGGCGCACTGATGCCATCTGTAGATACTTACTGATGGACTCTATGTCCAGCTCGTCGTGGAGATCCACGTTCCTTACGTACCACGGTGCTCCGACGACTATCCTTCAAAATCGGGATTGTATGATTTGAAGGGGTTCCAAGTTAGTGCGACCGCCTGAGCAAACACTACACTTGCATAGGTCATGACCGGACGTAAGCAAGTTCTGTAGTGTCAGATGTTATTCCTTCACCGTGGAAGTCGATCGTGAATATTTGTTAAGTACGTATTTCATTAGAAAAATTGGTACCCGCCTGCGGGATTCGAACACCGGTGCATCGCTAGATACGAATGCACCGGACGTCTTATCCTTTAGGCCACGGTAGCAAATATAAGTAACAAACATATTTCATAAAGTATTAAAATTATTAGAGAATTGAAAACTGACGTTAAACAAAGCAAACTGGATTAACTAACCATAAACCAATGCAGTTAATCTATAACAATTAGTAGAATTATTGAATATGTTATAACTTCATAATTTCCTTTCAAGACTAACTTTTATTTACTGTGCTACTCATATCCACAATATCAATTTAAAGATTTATTTCATTGAATTTTTAAAACATATTTCAACAGGTACAATGCACAGACAAATCTCACAAGTATTTGCATTGACAGATACCTACCTACGTAGAATATTTTATAATTATAACTTTTCAAATCGGCTTTAGTTTTATCAGAATTTTCATACTGTCTTAAGATTTGAAGGTTAAACCTGAATTGAATTAAGATGATGCCAAAAATAGGTAGGATCGTAGCACACTTACGGGTAATTAAATATTTCGGTGGTTAGCTAAATAAAATGGAAGCATCAATTGTACCTACTCCAATTTTAAGAATAGCCATAAGAATTCAACGGTTTCAATAAAAAAAAAGTAATATAAGGTAATTTTTGCATACTGCATCACGGACTTACCATAATACCCCCTGCTAATCGATGACGGTAACCATGAAACATCTTGTAATCTTGCTCTCTGCACGCTATAGATTAAGCTCTGATTAAGTAATAAATCTGATAATAGATAATAGATAAGAGGAAACCATTATCTACATCATTCCTTTATATGGAAGTTAGTTTCTCCGACTTTAATTTGCTAAACTCCACTTTATTCTCATTCCAGTTCTATTGCGCTCTCAAATGCTCACTGAGATTTTGCCCATCCTAATCAATTATATAATAGTCGTTAGTGTTCTCAAAATACTAATGACATCTCTATCTGTCTATCAATTCTATCTCTATATATAAAAATTAATTGCTATTCGTTTGTCTCGCTAAAACTCGAGAACGGCTGAACCGATTTGGCTAATATTGGTCTTGAATTATTTGTGGAAGTCCAGAGAAGGTTTAAAAGGTAGATAAATATGAAAATGCTNAATCAATTATATAATAGTCGTTAGTGTTCTCAAAATACTAATGACATCTCTATCTGTCTATCAATTCTATCTCTATATATAAAAATTAATTGCTATTCGTTTGTCTCGCTAAAACTCGAGAACGGCTGAACCGATTTGGCTAATATTGGTCTTGAATTATTTGTGGAAGTCCAGAGAAGGTTTAAAAGGTAGATAAATATGAAAATGCTCGGAATTAAATAAAAATAACAATTTTGTTTCCCCTTTGATGTGTCTCCCGTCGGACGGATTCCTTTTGTTTGTTTTAAGTTTATTTTATACAAAAGTTTAGGTATTTTATTTGTCGATTGAGGCACTACGAAGTCTGCCGGGTCAGCTAGTCTTCTTACATATAAGTAAAAATAATACTTTTAGTGGCGTTATTGGGTTTTTAATATATGAATAGCGTTCGAACAGACGACGAAGTAGGTAGGAAGAGCGTTAGAAGTAGGTAAATGAACTAAAAATACTACTACTAAAACAATGATAGCAGTAGGCTGTAACTGAAGCAGTACGAGATCTCGTCCACGTGTCTTCTGATTAATAGCTAGCTATTGGTCCTTTGGACTTATTGTTAGTGTAGTTATCAAAAAATATTTACAAGCAAAAATGTGTTCCGAATATATTCTATACGCAAACGAACAAGATTATTTTATATAGCTATTCATAAATATTAAACCTTGCGGCAAACATGAGTCAAGGTTTTATAAGTTGAAGCGATAAACGTAAGCCGGATAATTATACATTCGATGGAAATTAATTATAAAGCAAACCGTCTAATAAATTAATTCGCTTAGCTATGCTAAATAGTTGAAAAATCAATGGCTATACCGCATTCACTTCCCGTGATAGCTCGTCAAGTGACTTAACTATTGATGATTTAATAAGTAATAAAATACAATAAAGGTTCAAATTAGTAAGGATGCCACTTGGAGAACAAGTAACAGAAAACATTCACGTTATTGATATTGAAAACAATATAGATGTAACGAGAAATTTTAATGAAGTAGAAATTCGTCAGAGTGTAGAAGAAAAATCAAATCCAAAAGGTACGTATACCAACCGGTAAAAGCTATCAGTTACCTATTTCGATAAAAAAGTGTGTTAAGTGGCTGAAAATGATGCATCTCACTACGATGACGGTAAAAAATTTCCGATTCAAAAGGTAGAAAAATTTCATAAAAAAAAAATCTTACCTATTCTAGTAACCTCCAGGGTTTATACTAGATTCGCAAAACGAGTGCATGTCTCTTTGTGGACGTTTACAGCGTGACTACAGAATTCGCCTCAGAATAGGCAGTAGTATTCTTTGATTCATACAAAACATTTACAGTTATTGAAATATGTGCAGCTGGCTTAAACATGATGAAACAATTGGCACTAATTAATGGCTAATCAGGGTTAAACTTATTAATGTAAATCAGCTTTCAAGCTAATTTTATTTTTCAGTGAGCGCAGCTTCCAGGGAAATCTCGATTGAACAGGTAACGGTAATAAAAGCTTATTATAAGGTCTAACACGATGATCAATAGTGGTGGTTTTAAAATAATTTGAATTAACTCAGTTAAATGACATGTACTGTTAATGCCAAAACTCGTGGTGTGCATTCTTCGAATATATTCACAAAAATAAATCTGTTTGTCTGTACATTTATTTTCTCGTTTGGGTATCACGCGAAAACTAAAGTTTGCACTTGTTTGACTAGATTCAATAGCAGTTACAGTTTTAAAAAAAAACATGTAACTAATTGCGTAGCTCTTTCTCCTTTATGATTTATCCGCCAACTGCTATCTAAACAAAAAAGCTTTCAAGATTTACGTAATTTATTAAAGTTTTGAAGACGGTCCCTTTGCACCCTGTATAGATCATTCCCCTACCTAACCAATACAGAAACTCGCCAGGCCGTTCAAAAAGTCAGAGAGACCTACAACAGCGGTGTTACTCGATGCTTAAAATGGCGCCGAAAGCAACTCCGCAATCTCTATCGTATGTACGAGGAAAATGCTAATCTCATGCTAGACGTGTTGTACCAAGACTTGAGAAGAAGCAAAACTGAAAGCTTACTTCTCGAAATTGACTACATGAAGAATGACCTCAAGCATGTATTGTATAATTTGGATTTGTGGACGAAGCCCGAGCGGGTGAGTCGTCGGTTATTAATTTGTAAGAAGCATAATTTATTTTCAGAACATAATCTATTACGCAAAATAAATCCCATTCCCCAGAGGAAGTATATCAGGAAAGTAACCCCGGTAATCAACAAATTAAAGGGCGGACGGTTAGCATGATATGGACATATTGTGATGCGTAGCGAGAAGATGCATATGACTAGGAGATGTATGGAATTGGTAGTGCAATGTAGAGGGGGAAGAGATCGACCAAAGAAGACATGGATGTGAATGACGATATGAGAGAGAGAGGAGTGAGTGTTGAAATGACGGCTGATAGAGGAGAACGGATGAGAAAAATTAGCTGTGCCGACCCCATCTAGTGGATAAGGTGGAGAAAAAGAAGAAGATCAGTTAATACCAAATTATCAAAACCAAATGACACCTCCTTTTAAAATCTAAAGTTTAATAATTTACAAAACGTGTACAAAGTATACTCGAAAAACATTATTCTCCTGCGGCCTTCGCGTAAAGACATCTATTAGGGAAGNGGAGAACGGATGAGAAAAATTAGCTGTGCCGACCCCATCTAGTGGATAAGGTGGAGAAAAAGAAGAAGATCAGTTAATACCAAATTATCAAAACCAAATGACACCTCCTTTTAAAATCTAAAGTTTAATAATTTACAAAACGTGTACAAAGTATACTCGAAAAACATTATTCTCCTGCGGCCTTCGCGTAAAGACATCTATTAGGGAAGAATAGGATAGGATAGGATAGTATAACAGTTAAGAAAGACGGTAGCTATAGGCTCTAATTGTCGCTCAAATATAAGTAAGCCGTGATTTTCTTTGCCCGTTACGCAAATGTCCGCTAAAGACAACTCAAAAACTGCACTGCAATTAGCCAGAGATTTAACAACAATTAGTATTTGGTGAAAATCATTCAAGAGAAGAATACCTTAGAAAAAAAATTAACATTCAAATTGAAAACTGTCCGTTTGCTTATTGATTTTATTTCACTAGCCGGACAGGGACTTCGTAAATTGGCTCGACCAAGTATTCATCTACCACGATCCGTATGGTGTAGTACTGATTATTGGGGCTTGGAACTATCCTCTGGCGTTGTCATTGCTACCGATGGCTGGAGCCATAGCAGCAGGGAATGCCGTCATCGTGAAACCAAGTGAAATATCTCCGGCAAGTGCAAGATTCATCGTTGAATATATACCGAAGTATTTGGACAATGTAAGTCTTTTATTTTCTCCTCGATTCACTTTAATTGATCTATTAACAATAACATACATTGATATCCTTAATTTAATACTTTGAAATTCTTATATAAACTATATAAACTTGTGTTTATTTAACAAAAAACATATTCCAAATACATTTAATAATAATAATAAGCCCATTTTATTTCCAAAAACAAATAGAAAAAAAGAAAAAACACCTTATCAATAAAAAATTACAAAATTAAATATAAACTTGTGTTTGGAACCCCATTCGGGTATAGGCCTCCTCCAGCTTGCTCCACTCTTCCCTATCCTTGGCTTTGTTTCTCCATTCTTTTCCAGTTGCTGCTATTATTTCGTCGATCCATCTGCTTCTTGGTCGTCCTCTTCTTCTTTTACCCGCTGGTCCTTCCCATGTTGTAATTTGTAATGTCCATCTTTTATCCGTATATCTCGCAAGATGTCCTGCCAAATACATTTAGCTTATAGTAAATTAGATATTATCATAACGTGAGCACAGACACAAAACAAAAGCATAAGCTAAATATTTTTAGGATGCTGTCATAATAATAGAAGGAGGGCCGCAAGAAACCACAAAATTATTGTCACACCGATTTGATTACATATTTTATACTGGAAGTACGAATATTGGTAAAATAATCTATGCGTCTGCAGCTAAACATCTAACTCCTGTAACACTAGAGCTTGGAGGCAAAAGGTTAATTATTCAATTATTTATTTAATTTTGTAAGTCAATTATTAACCAAATTAGCCAAAAAAATAAATTGGAAATAATCTTAAATCAAAGAGCGGGTCGGTAAAATTTACCACTGCAGTGGCAGTGCTGTATCGATACCATGATTGCCTATTTTGATTGATACAAATAAACGATATTTATATAAGATGACTTTAACTCTCTCTGTATACTATATATTATAATAAATTGTATATATTATAAAAAATGTATATTATAATAAAAAATAATTATTATTATATTATAATACTTTGTATTAATTGTATGTATATTTACGGAGATATGTATGTGCATATGTATGTGTACATATATGTATATATGTATTTCACTGGAATGGTACACCGCGCGTAGTTCGTTTCCAAATGATTCTTGTTCACCTGATGGTTGTCTAGAAGAGATCGCTCTTAGCAATAAGACCGCCAATTGTACTTTTTTGTTTTTAATGTATCGCACTGTTTATTTGTTTTTTGGTGTACAATAAAGAATACTCTCTCTCTCTCTCTCTCTCTCTCTCTAAAGGGCAATTTCATAGGTAAAGACCTTATGTCATAACTGTTGAATAAATAGTTCATAAATAATAATAATAATAATAATCAATATTTACTAACAATCACGGATATAAATGTAAGATTGTTATTATACACATACATATATTTAATATTTAATATACATCCATAACCCTGGAAAAGACATTTATATCAAATATCTTCCCTTGGCGGGATTCGAACCCGCGACCCCTTTGTGTAGTGACCATGTCGCTAACCACTACACCAGACGGCCGTAGATGTATTGATAAATGTTTTGGTACGGACTATTTTAATTTATGTGTGTTATCTGTGCGAATATAGACTAATTTCACTTGTCAGCTAATATAATTAATTGTGTCTTATAAAGAAATCTGATTAGAGTTTCATTGAAATACTGCCTATTTCCAATAATAACCTAGCCATGTCACTCTTTATGATGCACGAATTCTATACCTATACATATTTTTTTTATGAAAGTCTAATGAAAAAATGCTGTGTGAACTAATATAAACTTTTGGTCTGTAAATACTTGAGAATACATTGACTTAATTTATTTATTATAAAAAAAAGAACACAATATTCCTAATCTAAAAGTACATGTTATTATCCGCAACATGCTTCATCAGATTACAGAATTAATATATATAATATAATAAGATACATTGACTTGTATTTATTGTAAATGGAACTACATTTTAATTTTTTTTATAGTCCTGTATACATTGACGACACGGCGGATCTAGAAATGACCGTGGATCGAATACTCTGGGGTAAATTCATAAATGCCGGTCAGACATGCATCGCGCCAGACTACGTTTTGTGCACGAAAGAAATCCAAGAGAAATTTATACAAAAATCTAAAAGAATCTTAAAGAAATGGTTCGGAGACGACCCACAAAAGACGCCAGATTACAGTAGGATTGTAAACAATAGACACTTTAGGTAAACTCTAATAGATTAAAATAAATAAATAAATCAGTGTTGTTTAGACAAAAATAAATTGAGTTTTGTCAATTACTGGTGGTAGGACCACTTGTGAGTCCGCACGGGTAGGTACCACCACCCTGCCTATTTCTGCCGTGAAGCAGTAATGCGTTTCGGTTTGAAGGGTGGGGCAGCCGTTGTAACTATACTGAGACTTTAGAACTTGTATCTCAAGGTGGGTGGCGCGTCTACGTTGTAGATGTCTATGGGCTCCAGTAACCACTTAACACCAGGTGGGCTGTGAGCTCGTNAACACCAGTTGGCTGTGAGCTCGTCCACCCATCTAAGCAATAAAAAAAAAACTCTGCTCTACTTTTTTGTTTAGTTAATTTACTTCATTGTTTGCAAAAATGAAAATCAACAACGTGTAATCTCGTGAATTTATTCAACATTGATGCCACATAAAAACGCTGCATTTTTTTTTCATTGCTTAGATCGATGGATGAGCTCACAGCCCACCTGGTGTTAAGTGGTTACTGGAGCCCATAGACATATATAACGTATATGCGCCATCCACCTTGAGATATAAGCTCTAAAGTCTCAAGTATAGTTACAACAGCTGCCCCACCCTTCAAACCGAAACGCATTACTGCTTCACGGCAGAAATAGGCAGGGTGGTGGTACCTACCCGTGCGGACTCACAAGAGGTCCTGCCACCAGTAATTACGCAAATTATAATGTTGCGGATTTGATTTTTATTACACGTTGTTATTTCTTTACCGTGGAAGTCAATCGTGAACATTTGTTGAGTACTGTTAGATACGAGGGATACGCGAGTGAAACACTTGGCTGCTATTAAAACACTGTCCTATATTTGTTGTAATACCCCGTATGCGTAGGCACACGCACACACACTTAAAAAGTACGTATTTCATTGGAAAAATTGGTAACAATTGGTTGAACGGTTATTCGAACACCGGTGCATCGCTCAACACGAATGCACCGGACGTCTTATCCTTTAGGCCACGACGACTTCATTGGCATTTAAAAAGTTCTTGATTAGTTAAAAACAAACAATGAAATTTAACTCAAAATCTGTGTATAAAATACGAATAAAATTTGTATTGCTTTATTGCCAAAGGCGGCATGATATAATTTAGTTTTCGGATTTCAGTCGTCTCCAGGCAGTTTTAGATGCAAGTAGACATAAAATCGCAATCGGTGGTAAATATGATCCGGGCGATAAATTTATAGATCTAACTATCTTAACTAATGTGGATGTGAACGACAAAATTATGGAAGACGAAATATTTGGTCCGCTATTAGCTATTTGCGTTGTAAAGGATATTAACGAAGCACTAAAATTCATTAACGAAAGGTAAGAACAACGAAATTGTGGTCTAATCTATACTAATATTATAAAGCTGAAGAGTTTGTTTGTTTGAACGCGTTAATATCAGGAAGTACTGGCCCGATTTAAAAAATTCTTTCAGTGTTAGGTGGCCCATTTATTGAGGAAGGCACAAGTGGAGCACCAATAAAGAATGTTTTAAAATATTTTCACTTTCTACGTAAATGAAGTGGGGGGTAAAATTTAGCGTTATGCCAAAGTAACTATTCCACGCGGACGGAGTCGCGAGCAAAAGCTAGTTATTTTTAATGTACTTTTAAATACAAAAGGAGATTTGTAAACTATTCTAAATTTCTTCTCTCTTATCATTACTAAAAACATGGATAGTCCACTTTCTTTTTCTATGTCTACTAGTTTTGATTTTAAGGGCCAGTTTTCTATAAAACAATATTGCTTTCATAAATTCACTTTATTATTGAGGGCCGATAATTTTCATACACCTTGTAATATCGGGCACCATACTCAAATCAAAATGTAGTGAGATAAATATTGCAGTGTTACTAAAATAGCTACTGCGTACTCACGAAAGGAAACTCAAGATAAGAATTAGAGAAAGAGTGTAATTAATAGTTATTATGCCACGAAAAGTAATTTTTTTGTGCTTAAAGAATTATAACATGTTTCAGGGGAAAACCACTTGTCCTGTACGTGTTCTCAAGTAGCGAAAAAGTTCATAAAATATTTGCGTCACACACTAGCAGCGGATCTATTTGCTTCAATGATACAATTGTGTTCACTGGAGGTACTTAGCACAAGATTACTTTTATTTGTTTTTCAGCTCATGAACCACTTAATTACCGATTAATTCTACCTGATTACCGAATCCCATGGACACTTAACGAATGCCACCAAATTGATGCATATAGGAGAATTCTTAGTTGCTTTTTTTTTTTTTATATATATGTTTTTTTTACTTACACTAGTAGGGAGACAAGGCTCTCCTAATGGTAGGTGGTTACCGTTCCACATGGACGTCAGCAATGCCAGGGGCAGAGCTAAGCCGCTGCCTACCGTTTAATACACTCCACAGGCCTCATTTGAAGATGGACATGTCATTGCGCTCGGGAAACACCGTAGAGGGCAGCTTATTCCAAAAGGGTATACCGGTTACAATGCAATTTCAAACTAAATTTTTTTCAGTACACACATTACCGTTTGGAGGAGTTGGATCGAGTGGTATAGGGACCTACCATGGAAAAATGACCTATGACACTTTTACGCACAGAAAGAGCTGCCTCAAGAGAAATTTCTTTTCTGTTGGCAATAAACTGTCGTCGTAAGCAATTAAACTTTTACTTTAATTGTTGTTAAAGGTCACTAAATTATTGCTTTGTTCTGTTACATCATTATCGTCTTTCACATAGGATAGGATTTTAAATGGTAGCTTCCAAAGTGTTTTAAATTCTACTGGCTACGACAACAGTCACACACACACACAGACACACACATACAGACCACAATCACATTTCCTGTCTTTTTTACTGGTGGTAGGACCTCTTGTGAGTCCGCACGGGAAGGTACCACCGCCCCGCCTATTTCTGCCGTGAAGCAGTAATGCGTTTCGGTTTGAAGGGTAGGGTAGCCGTTATAACTATACTGAGACCTTAGAACTTATATCTCGAGGTAGGTGGCGCATTTATGTTGTAGATGTCTCTGGACTCCAGTAACCACTTAACACCAGGTGGGCTGTGAGCTCGTCCACCCATCTAAGAAATAAAAAATAAAAAAACTTCCGCAATAACAGGATCTTTACTCCCATTTTTTCCTACCTAAATCCCACATTCCTATATCCCTAATTACTATCAAAGGTACTTTTATTATATAAGATACTGGTGGTTTTGATGTCGCGATGACGAATTTTTGTTTTTTTTTTATAACCGTATATGCAGACGAACATACGGCCCAACTGATGGTAAGTGGTTGCCGTCGATCGTGGACGTCAGCAATGCCAAGAGCAGAGCCAAGCCGCTGCCTACCGTTTAATACATTTACATATTCATTAGGCTACACAATATTCATTCAATAAGTGGATGAGGAGAGCAGCAGACCGGGCTCAGTGGTGTGGATTGGGAGAGGCCTATGTCCAGCAGTGGACGACTGTGGGCTGTTGATGATGATGATGATGATGATGATGACACAATATTCGTCCCCTTATACCCTTTCCGAGTTACATCTTGGCGAAGAACGAGTTCTCGAGTTTATTCGGAACGAGTGGGTCATTTAGTGAATTCACCTCACGCCTGCAAATTGCAAGTTGACACAAGTGAGTGCCAAAATGACGTTTAGTTCCAGTGTCGCCAACTGTTTGAAAACTTTCCCCCTAAAGCAATTTCAAAAACCACTAAATTAGTGGTATATTTTTGAGAATAGCCAGAAACTTTTTCTCCCCTTGGCATTTTAAACCTGGTATTTTATATTTGGTATTTGTTTTTAAAAAAAGATAGTGCACAATGCAAAAACTAACAATTATAACTGACTGTTTTTAGCTGTCAGCTGGTAAGAGTATAATAAAAAATGCATACAGTGTCATCTATTAAAATTGGAAACATTCAATCGATTTGATTTTTTTTTATTTTTGTTGATGTACGTAGAATTTTTTTAAAAAATACAAACAAAATTTTATCCCTAAAAATATCCCCAAAAAATTTCACCCCCTAAAAAATCCCAGTATAGACTTTTTGCAATTCCTTTATTTCTGAAGTATTGTTTACAAAAAACTTAATCGCACTAACGACATTTTTACGATATTTTAGCATAGATATAGACGACATTTTAGAACGACATTTTTAAGATATTTTTGCATAGATAGAAGTTCGGCCCAACAAAATAACGGTATACAAAGCAAGACCACATGTTTGGCTGCACCACGCACATTTAGTTTGGTCTTGGGTTTGCGTGGGCAATGTCTTTGATATTGTCCTTGAACTTAATAGTATCTTCATCAAATATTCCAAAAAGTTTTATGAATTATTTTAAAACGTTCCACTTTCAACAAACCTCAGCTAAGATTTGATCCCGTGTTGTAGGTGACCGAACTAAGTACAAGAGTAGAAAAAATCACCCAGACCACTTAACACTTGACCCACGCAGAGGTCAAATCTAGATCTGTATATCAAGACAATTACCATTAACTCATTCCTGTGACTGTAAATATGAAATTTCCTGTAAAAAGGACAACATTTTCAAAATTAACAAAAAAAATCTCAAGCTTATGTATAAAATTTTCAGTTTGCGTAATCCACCTTACAATGAATGGAAATTGAGAATTGCAAGGGAAGTTATGCGCAAGAAAAACATTCCTTCTTTTGATTTCTTTTGGCCGGTCATCACTTTTGTCATCGGCTGCAGCATAACATATTACATGTTAAATATGCAAAAGGTAAGATTCTTTTTTTCTTAGGCGGTATTTAGAATTACTAAGAAGTTACAAGACTTATTATTAAGAGGTTACTCTTGTAACCTCTTAATAATAAGTCTCTTGACGCCACAACGAGAATGCTACCGCCGATCTTAGGTCATGAGATCAAAGTCGTCTTTGTATAACGGTCCTATAATTATTCGGACCGGAACGCCTATGGTTCACTGCAGAAATAGGTAGGATGCAGATAACTGACCGTTCGGGCTTACAATAAACCTTATTACTGATTTCTACGGACCGACGATCGTAGCGCGCTGGTTTACTAGTCAAAGAACGTTGCTACTCATTCTCCAGTTGCCCACTGAGTTTCTGGCCGGATCTCCTCAGTGGGTCGCGTTTCCGATCCGATGGTAGATTCAGCGAAGCACTGCTCTTGCTATGGCCAGTGTTAGCATCACTCCGGTTTGAGCCCCGCGAGCTCACCTACATGTTAGGGCGAAGCTGAAATAGCCTCTCAAGGCTATCAGCATAGGTAGGGAAAATCTCTCGTGAATCCTTAAGTCGCCTTTAACTACACCCATGAGAATAATGAAGTGGTGCCATTCTAGACACAACGCAGCCAAAAAGAGCTTAACGAATTGGAACGTCATTTTGTAAGAACATGGTTTATAATCTGGATTAATTTTTATGTCGTATACCTTTTAAAAAAAGCATCATATACATAGTAAATGAAAAGGACCCAGGAAACGCAGAGTGCTGTAAGAAAAACGACAGTGTATTTCCATTCGTTTATTCGTCAACAACTATCGCCATCGCTGGTAGTATAAGGGGCTATTCCAGCTACTCACGGAGAGGTAGGTGAGCTCACGGGCTCAACATGAGAGTGTTACACCGACCCTAGATAGAGCAGTGATTCGTTGAATCTACCAACGAATCTACCAACGAATCGGAGTCGCGATCCACTGCAAAGATCCGGCGAGAAACTCAATGAGTTAAAGGTGGTTTATAGACCAAAGATTGACACACAAGTCATTCTTTATCCCGAGAAAACGAGCAACGTGTTTTATTTGTTCTGATTTATAAATATAAGATGGGTAAAAACAGCGCGAAGCTATTATGAGCTTCTTGTGGAATATCGATGGGTTTCACCTGTGAACAATTCAGTGTTAATTATCTTTTTTCAAGGTCCAGCCGGAGGTTTTGAACGGAACTAATGCTACAATCTATTCATAAATCTTAAATTGTTTATTAACAATCACCTTGATTTACTTCTGCAATGTTTAAGACTTAACAAAGTATATTTAATAATTAATAAATTATTTAATCGTCACATCCTTATTCACGNTCGATGGGTTTCACCTGTGAACAATTCAGTGTTAATTATCTTTTTTCAAGGTCCAGCCGGAGGTTTTGAACGGAACTAATGCTACAATCTATTCATAAATCTTAAATTGTTTATTAACAATCACCTTGATTTACTTCTGCAATGTTTAAGACTTAACAAAGTATATTTAATAATTAATAAATTATTTAATCGTCACATCCTTATTCACGAATTCTACCTAAGATATGAATATCTAATATCGAGTTTTAGAACCTTTCAAAGACTCGACGCATCGAATTCTATAAACGAATTAATTTTATTTATAAATTATTAAAACTGATTCACTAAATAAACCGATTACTTACAAGTAAAACCTTTAAAAAATCTCGTCTGGTTGATTAATAAAAAATTATTACACATTAATTTTTAATACTATTTTTCGAGGAATCAAGAGTCATTCCATCTGTAATTTAAGATGTTGTTACACGAATCTTCCTCGATCTCCATCCACTCAATCGAGAATACGATAAACATCACACGTATTTAAAGTACATATTCACTCTTTCTTCTTAAAGCATACAATTCGAATATGCACCGTCTTGTACTTTTATCATTATTTAATTAAATAAATAAAACTTTATGTCACTGACGATTTTTGTTTTTTATTTAAAAGTCTCTTTGCTGATAAATTAATCAATAGCCGGGACTAATTCCTAAGATCAATGTACTTTTGATTAATCGGTCTTGTCTTGCAAATCGGATGCGGGAACAATAAAAGAGACATCGATTCATTTACCCATATGAAGCAAACGATTTTTTTTGTGTGAATCGTAACATAAATATATGCAGGTTATTTGATTGCTTAGGCGTTTTATCGATGCCCATATACATCAACAACATAAATGCTGCCACCCACCTTGAGACACGAGTTCAAAGGGGAATGCCCATTTCAGGCCCAAAGCGGACAATAGATTAGAGAAAAAATACTTAGTGCATTAATTTTGTCATAAATAAATATGCATTTACTTTCTTCCAAATAAGCGCCACTACAGTTTACAATAAGTAGTTTAAAAAAAGTAACTCTATTGAAACAAACAACATTTTTATTTTTGCGGGAAAAATATTTCCAGCATCAAAACCTTTTACGTATTAAGGAACATTTTAAGTATATTAAAAAAACATATAAATAAATCATTTTAAATATTATCATTAATCAATCGGTTTTAATCGATTATAAGCACATAAAATAACATCAAAGACATACCCATTGGACTTTAACTTGTTTCTGTACTTGAGACCTTAGAACTTATATCTCATGGTGGGTGGCGCGTTTACGCTGTAGATGTTTGTGGGCTCCAGTAACCACTTAACACCAGGGTGGCTGTGAGATCGTCCACCCATCTAAGCAATAAAAAAAAAACTTAACTTGTATTGTTATTTAAATATGTACAACTAAAACATAAACATAAAAAATAAAAAATAATGTGTACTCGTAAAAAAAAGATTAAGAAATAAATCAATTATCGGTTATTTAAAAAAATGATCGATATATGAATTTCATGTAATTATTTTTCTTTATACTGACAATACTGATTTTAATCTGACTGACTGACACTTCGCTTGCTGCTGCTTGTGCTTGCGTTCAAAATGGATTTATTTTGCTTTTATCAATAACGTTACATACTACGACTGAAAAACATTGTGTGAATTGTAGTTTTAACCTGACCGAGATTTAAAACCGTGTATATGCTCTCCTGTGCTATTTTTAGATGATTTACTAATTGTGTATGAAGATGAAGAAAATATAGATATTTAAAGAAGTATGTGTGTTTTTTATACCCTAATAACTACAATTGGATAAAAATACATTAGGAACATAAACATTAAAAAAAGAAAAGTTCTTGAAGTATTTATATGGAAAATTAACCTCAAAACGAGTTTTTATTTTTATTATATTTTTTATAAAAGTGGCGTCAATTTCAATATATTTTTTAGATATCTAATACATTTAAGAATTTGAATCAGTCCATTTTTATAGTAATATTTGATGTACACCTTGGGCCTAGCACACTATGGAGAGTGGGCATTGCCCTTTCACTTCTATAGTGCAACGCCTGCCTCGTCCTTGAAACAGGAACGCACTACGGCTTCGCAATAGAAATAGGCAGGGTAGTAGTACCTACCCGTGCGGGCCCACAAGAGGGCCTACCACCACTTAATACTTTATTACAATGATTTATCTTATACCTTTAAACGAGCAATTCTTGTATATTAATATATACTTATATAATCTGAATCTCGGAAACGGCTCCAACGATTTTCATAAAATTTAGTATACAGGGGATTTCGGGGGCGATAAATCGATCTAGCTACGATTTATTTTCAGAAAAAGTTGTTTTATTCGTGTTTCCAATAATCAACTCTTCCCGACATCTGTTGGCGAATAATAATACTATTTTTCTTAATTGAGGGCAACTAACCGCTTTAAAGACACAACAAGATGGCGTTATAAAAAAAAACGAGCAAAGCTCTGTCATCGTCTAATTATAATTATTTATAATACTTTAAGCTCCTTAGAACTACACAATCGGCCCTCACAATTAGAGATGTTGATCTTTATTACAATCTCCATTATTCACTCTCCAGAAGCTAACTGTGAGTTCGACTTCTTCAAGCTTCATTATGAATAATAGAAACGCGAGACAAATGAATTATACAAACACATCCAACATCAGTGCCTACGTAACACTGAAATATACCAGTTTCTGTTCGTAACGTTCTAAAAAACAAAAAAACCGGTACTGGCCATATCGAGATGAAATTTCAAGATGTAGAAACATTCAGAACATAGTTATTTAATAAATTACTGGTAGTATAAAGGACTATTCCAGCTATGCCTAAACGAATAGATGAGTTTATGGGCTCAACCTGAGAAGATCCGGCGAGAAGCACAGCCGGTTGTGTCTTTGGGAAGCTAATTTACGTTGAACAGACGCAGTTACAATCGCGTTCCGGCTTTGACGATACGTTAATTCAATAGTACAACATAATCGAACCTTCGAGCTCGTGTATTTGGACAGGAGCGTATAGAAAAGAACCCATCTGCACATCTACAGAAAAAAAAGTGTTTCAAATAACGTACAAACCTGGTCAAATTTTCTATGAAAAAAAAGTTAATTAGCCTTATTTTAGCTTAACTTAGCTTAGGCTGTAGATTACGTGGAGCATGTTAAGAGCCGACAAATCTGTCTAAGTTCTTCTAATTTGTTTGTTAGCATTACCACTGGAACTCGACGAATCACTCCGACAACATACACTGGCTGAATGTTGTCACCCCGACGCTTTTTTTTATTGCTTAGATGGGTGGACGAGCTCACAGCCCACCTGGTGTTAAATGGTTACTGGAGCCCATAGACATCTACAGCGTAAATGCGCCACCCACCTTGAGATATAAGTTCTTAGGTCTCAAGTTACCACGGTTGCCCCACCCTTCAAACCGAAACGTATTACTGCTTCACGGCAGAAATAGGCAGGGTGGTTGTACCTACCCGTGCGGACTCCCAAGAGGTCCTACCACAAGTAATAAAGGCGATTCCGCTAACTTTTCCAACAGCATGCCGTTACTGGTTGTAATGTCTAAAAGTGTACGGCGGCATTTACGTCATCGATGCATATAATTGTAAAAAATTGAAGGTTACATTAAAATTATTATGACGTGTTAGTAATCCGTCATAATTCATTTCCTAGTCTTCGCTACGTGAGCAACAATTATGCTTCTTCCTGTATAATTACTTATAAAACGTTCTCGTAAGCCATATACATGTACGAGGCTTAGCGGTTTCCTTTCAATCTTACAAATCACCTAATTACCGCGTTTTATGTAATATAGGTTACGCATTACGTTGACGTTACTGCGTTTCGGATTTATTCGATTATAATTGAAAGGACAGAGGATTTTTTTATAAACCGTGCCGCACATTGTCCGCATAGCCCTTGACTGACATGTTTTGACGCACGCCCAAAAGCACTCATCATGTATACTTTGGGTACAGAACCGGTCAGCTTCTTCTAATGCTCGTATTAGAAATGTAGAAATATGTATTGTCTTATATCCATGTCTTCACCGCGCCGCGCGGTTAAAAAGAAGTGTCAGTGTAGTTTCCCGTGAGAATCAGATGTTTTTTTCGGGATAAAAGGTAGCCTATGTCACTTCCCTAACATAAAACTCTCACTCTTCCTAGCCATTCATCTCACATGGTGGTTGGGTCGGCTTTTGTTTAATTTCGCTCTGTATTCGATAACCTCGTTATCACCAACATTGCATTCCTTCTTGTAATTCAACACTAAATCTTTCCACCTTGTTTTCTCTGACCTAAAACTAACACTTAAAAATAAAAAAATAGTTTAAAAAAACCTAAAAAAACAGGCTTTATATAAAATTCAACTAAAAAATAGAATTTTTTTTTTTTAATATTGTTTATTTTTCATTTTTTAGTTATTTTTTTTTGCAAATTGCATAATGGAATAATCTTATCAAATTAGTGTATTGTCATCGGTCCTCGATAAATCTACAAAGTTTGAATGAAATCTGGCTGTTTAAAGTGGATCAAAATCGCGTCTAAAGGAGTCAGTTACAAACATACAAACATACATACAAGTGAAGCTAATATAAAGCGTGTAAAAATATGTATCGACATACATCGCTGTTTTGCAGATTACTGTTGCTTCGTTTCGAACTGAAAGAAGGACATGCCAAAATACACGTAAACAAACAAAAATACTTTCACATTTATAAAGCACGACCTTTATTTCTCCCTACCCCCGTCAAAATTCGCAAACTGACGCATTGACGTTTAAAACTGACTAGAGGTCCCGCAGTAGTCGAAATTCGACTATAATTAATTGGAATTGTAAGTTTGTACACTATTATGATTGTATTTTATACTTCTATAATCACAAATTTCGCCAATACTACACTATAAAAAATATTAACAAAGGCAAACAATA